TGCTTAACTTCAAGCCTTTAAGACCCCAGATGCTATATCTTTTAATATCTGGGCACTCACTATTGGCTTTCTTCACCACATTTGCTTATGCACCCATTTTGTCTTCAGCAATTGTATCAGGCAGGTGAGCACCACAAAATGCTAGGTTACTAGAAAAAAGTATTCTTGCATTGAGGGAGGGCTTGAATAGAGGCCCGATGTCCATCTGCTTCCTTAATACTTAACATATAAATTTTTGTACCTAGGCTATATCCCCATCATTATATATTAATATATTTACATGTGTATATGCCTATATTTATACCTATATAAATGTCTCTTGCTTCCTAGTCCTTTCCTCTATTTCCTTTCACTTTATTGCTGTCCCACTATCATGTCCAACCTTCATTGGGCTCTCAGTAATTCCTCTTGGCTACATTGACCTTGATCGAACCCCACCAGGCATTCTATACCTTCCTCACCACAGATTTTAGATCTCTTGTTGTTCCCTTCTCTTTGGGTTTATTGGCGCCCCCTCTATTTTCCCCATCTCCCCTTCTCCCCTGCCCTCCTCCCCAACCCCGAACTGTAAATCTCATTGTTTTCTCCTCAGGATTGCTTATCTTGCCTATCTTATCTAGATAGACATGAAAAGAAGAAGCAGAGAAAGGACCGATAAATAGTTTGTAAGGGTCTGTCTGCTGACCCTTATGTATGTTTTCCAATCTAGTCTGATGAGATCCCAAGCCCTTCCCTCCAAGTCTGAATTCTATTTTCAAGATTCCTTGGGGACTTCGTTGCTTTGCTCCCCTTGCTGCTCTGTTGGGTTCCCTTCATGTTTTGCCTCTGTGTGGGTGGGTCAGACTGGGCACAATTCTCACAATGTCTCTCCTGTGCTGTCCCCTGCAGCACTGTGGGTCAGTGAGGGGATGTCATGTCTTGTAGTAGGGCCGACCTTATGGTCCTGTCTGTGCCTAGGCTGCTTTGAGCAGGAGTGTTGTCCTCAGGGCTTGGTGGGCGAGGTTGTGGTCCACTCTCTCTCTTTCTCTTTCCCTTTTAGTTTGCTCCTATATGGTCTGGGCAGACCCACCACTCTCCCCGGGCTGTATCTTCAGCGCTGTCCTCTGTAGTGCAATCTTCTGGGGAGGGGGTCAACATAGCTGGAATTGGGGCCTCCCCTACAGAACTCTGTTTGTTCACTGCTTCCTGCTGGTATGTTGCCCTCGAAGCTTGGCATACCAGATTGAGGACTGGTCCTTCTCTCCCTTTCCTGTGGAGACATAAACAATACCCTCCCCATGGGTGGGTTAGGGCTCTAATCTCCCACTATCCATATCCTCTCTCTATCTTTTATTTTTTCCTTTTCCCCCTTGGGTTGGGTCTGACCCCTGTCTGAGTACCTTGGCCTCACCCTGGAAATGTATGCATTCTGTGGCTTTCCCCCTATGCCCCTTATGCTTTTTAAGCTTACCTCAGTGGACTCATGTTGTACTTGTCCTTTTGTTCTTGTCTTACTTTGCTTAGCATTTCCTCAAATTTTTTCTGTGCAAGGAAACGCTGAATGGTTTAAAATCAGAAAAGTTGTACATCAGGGTTGTATTCTCTCATCATATTTGTTCACGTTATATTTGAGCTAATAATCAGAGAAGTTAGCTTATATGATGAAGAATGTGGCATCAGGGTTGGAGGAAGGCTTATTAACAACCTGTGATATGCAAATGACACGACCTTGCTTGCTGAATGTGAGGTGAACTTGAAACACTTGTTAAGGAAGGTGTAGGAGTGTACCCTTCAGTATGGATTAAAACTCAATGTAAAGAATATAAAAATTCTCACAAATGAACAAATAGGTAACTTCATGCTAAATGGAGAAAAGGTTGAGGTTGTCAAGAATTTTGTCTTGTTTGGATCCACAATCAATATTCATGGAAGCAGTAGTCAAGAGATCAAAAGATGAGTTACATTAAGTAAATCTGTTGCACAAGACCTCTTTAGAGTATTGAAGAGCAAGCATGTTACTTTGAGGGCTAGTCGCCCCTAATCCAAGCCATGGGAGCCTTGGTGGTATAGTGGTTAGGTGTTGGCCTATAGTCCGCATGGTGGCAGTTCGAAAGCACCAGCAGGAGAAAGACGGGGCTTTATACTCCTGTAAACAGGTATGGTCTCAGAAACGCACAGGGGGTCAATACGAGTCAGCATTAATTGGATGGCAGTGAGTTTGTTGGGGTTTTTTTGGTTTAACTCAAGCTATGGTATTGTCCATTGCCTCATACATATATGAAAGTATACATACAGTGAACCCTCGCCACTTCGCGCTTCGACTTCCGCGGCTTCACTCTATC